GGTTTTAACTTTCCATTTCAGTGTTTGGTTTGTCTGTTCTGGGCTACTGTAGAAACATGGTGGTTCAACATGGTGGCCTCTGTAGAAGACGACCCACTTCGTCTGTAGCTAAAAACAATTCTAAGGTAACAAATACACAACGATTGTTATATTCAGGTGATTATACACTAATGAAATCATACCTATCACTATTATATTCCATTTCTGCTAATGGATTCTCCTAAATGTTACACAATCGACCTTTAAGGAAGTGACTGCTTTTGTATTGAACATCCTGTAAGTGCAGCTCTGAAAGCTACTAATTTGACAAATTTGGAAAACATAACCCTAACCCATTTTTCAATGATGTTTTTTCCTGTCATTGCACAAAAAGTACAGTCAGTAACAGAAGAATAAACATGAGTTTTAGATTTTGAAGCTGTAAAAATTCTGTTAGTGCTTGTATTGTTTGGGAACTCTGAAGAGCAGCAGAACTGTGTGTGTACGTTTATGAGAATGAACTCTGAATGAGGCTTTTTTTCACCCTCATGAGGACAAACCTGCTGTGGTTCACCTCAGTGGAGGTTTGATGGTCAAAGACAAACGCAGACTGAGGTGAAACTGTGTCTTGTTTGTCTTACACAGAACAACAGACATCATGTGAGTTTGTGAAGAAATATAAACCTAACAGCAGCAGCAGGAGAGTCCTGGACCTGGTCTCATACTGGCTGTTCTTCTCTCAGCCACACAGGACTATACAAATACAATCCTACATTTACACTGCTCAAATGCTGTGGATACACCCTGACACCCAAATGACCTACAGGCAGAGTGATGAACAGAAAAAAACTGCTGAACTTCATCCGTCTGAATGATCCCTGTTTGGCTGAGTGGCAGCAGGGTGAAACAATATATCTTCCAATGCTTTGTTTTGGGTTTGTTTTGTGAGTGAACAGAGCTGTCAGCTCTCACAGTCTGAGCCAAACACTCAACTGCTGCTGTTGTGAAATCACTCTGTGACTCTCTGTAGCTCAAGGCTCCTCTCAAAGTCTGTGCAAGAGACAGTAAATCTGCTTTTTACTGCTTCGTATCACAAGCATGAAGCTGTTAAATATACCTGCAGGGGGCTGAGGCGATCAGTCATCAATTATTTTATTACTGGTGATTTCTTTGATTCTTTTCTCAATTAATCATCTAATCTACTCCATGCCAAAAAGGTGCTCATGATGAGTTCAAAGATGACTGTGATATAACAGATAACAGCAGCAAATGCTCACATTAAAAAAGCCAGAACCAGAAACATTTGGGTTTGTGAAACAACCAAATTCATGAATGAATAATCAAAAATGCTGTGAATCCTTTTTCTGTCAGAATGAACCTGTGTGGGATTCAGGGACATGAAGTTGCAGACATTTGAATACAGCTCAGCCATTCATGCATGTAGGAGAAACTATAGTTTCGCAAAACTCACGAAAGACACAAAGGGCCCAATCAAAGGCCAGTGTTTGGCTTGTCCATTACAGGCTACTGCAGAAACATGCCAGTTCAACATGGCTGCCTTCCCTCTGTAGATATAAACAGCTCATTCTAAGGTAACGGAAACACAGCGATTCTCATGTTCAGGTGATAATACACTTATAATTTTTCAGCCAACATGGCCGAAAAGTCCAAATCGAATCATAACAGCTACTGAGCTTGAAGGTAAACACTTCCATCTCCATGACAACAGGGAAAGTTTCACCGCTATCAATAAAAGTGAGAGGAAGTTGATAAAGGGAGCTTTACTTTAATTTTGAGTTAAGTTTAAGTAAATATGTTCAGTTAACGTGAGATAATAAAGTCTGTGAGAAGAGATGGGACTGGAAGAGAAGGAATTACTCTGGACAAGTTTGAGTTGAAAGGTTTGAAACTCTGCTCTCAGCCATCCGTTGGTCCTTGTAAACTGAGCTGACTGAACTCTGAGCATGAAAATAACCCAAACATGATCCCAAAGACACCTCAAAGGGGGTAGAGAGGTCAGCAATACACACACACACTCACATACACAGCTTACGGTAACGCTCCAGACTGGAGACTTATTTAACAACTTAAAATCTTAGCCATAAACTAACCAGAAATCCTGCTCTCTGATTGGCTGGTAGGTGTCATATCTGTGTTCATCTTTAACGTAGATCAGGTTAACCCACCGTTCCAAATCAGTGCTCAAGGCACAGTAACCATAGTAACAGTACCGATGCTTTAGGGTCGTTGACTTTGGCTGACAGGTGAAACTAACCTCAATGAGGTGAAACTGACTACAAACACACTTGAAGAAAGAGAAGACAGAAATGTACAATTAAAATAAATAGAATGTAAAATAAAGAGCTGTACAGTATGAAAAGGGTGGAATGTGCTAATTATTGACTAATGAATGTGCAAATGTTCACATTATACAGAAAAAAGGATAATGTAAATAAAAAATAAAAAGAATGTGCAATAATGCTTTAATGTAAGGGCATTACTGTTTATTTATTTGTAGTAGCTGCTGTAAGTATTTTATTATTGTGATGATGATTATTATAACTTTCTCTTTATTGATCTCTATAGTATGATACCTTTTATATAATATACACAATCCTTACAGCACAGAACACAAAACGTTATCTCCTTGACTTGCACTTCTAATGTACACCATTATTGTACAATGTATATTTAATATATATTAGAGTATGGTCCTAGTTTTAGTTCTATTTTATCTTTTATTGTATTATTTTCTTTTATTTACTTCATGAATGTATGTGTTCTGGAATTGCAATTAAAGATTATTTCAATTATGGATTAATCCACCAATTATTTTCTTGATGTATTGATTCATCTGAAAATAGTCAGGACAAGTATATATTTGGTGTTTTTTGCAAATGAATCTGCACAAAAAAATTCAAAGATTATTAAAATGGTTACTGATCACAAGTGACCAATTGATTAATCGTCTGATTAATCTAAACAAATCTACTGTGTTTACACTCCATCATACTTACTTACTTACAGTGTATATACATATCCTGTAAGTATTAGTATTATTATTATTATTAGTATAATGTAATATATCCATATTTTTCATATGGTAAACAGTGTTCTTGTTGTGATGCTCCACAGTGAGTTAAAAGCAGCTGATCTCCATTATATTCCTTTTTATGAGCTCTGTAAGTAGTGAACATTTTTCATCAGTTGACTTTCACAACAATATACATTTATGGAGTATTTCTATGGCACTTTATGGTGACTTTATAGTCACTTTATCACACCTGTTACTGTCATCTCCATGGTCCTACTGTCTTCCTATAACTACTTAAAGTAATAAACTATTATAATATTATTACTGTAACTCACAGTGCATGTATGGTTTTCTGTAGTGATTTTTGTATTTTATGGCATTTTATCTATTTAATCCTGCTTCTACATCAACAGGCTACCTTATCAGTCTGTTTCATGATGGCAATCAATTTTATATTCTCTTATAAGTCTTTTTAAGGTGGCCAACCTATTTATCCTATAATAGTATATATAATGTGGCCTAAAGAGTTTTTGTATCTCCCATAATATCCACACGGAAGATTTCTGTAAAGTTGCATTTTATGTTTCTGCAGTTAGTCTTTATGACTGGAACCAGCCTGTGTGATATTTATAGAGTTGACAGAGTAATATGTTTAATCTGTGTGCTGTTCCTGGATCATTTCTCCTGCAGATAACAAAAATCTCAGATATCCTATCTAGGCCTCAGTGTGCAGCAGCAGCACTGATCTCAGCTCTGTTGTCATGCACTCAAAGTTTCCAGACAGTGTGAACCCTCCGCCCGGCTTCGCTTTCTTGTTTCTCTCACTTATATAACACACAGATAGAAACTGTCAGCTGTTTACCTGTCCGCGGTTTCCCTCCGGATCCACAACAGCAGCGAGCTTCTCTCCGGTTTGATCCGTTTTTCTCGGAGTCCCGTCCGGCAGGTCGTGAGTCGGTTGTCGGAGGCAGACTGTCGGAGCTCACAGGATCATGGTGGAGAAAACTAACGGTGACTTTGGATCTCTCTGAGGGTTTACTGTCTGCCTCGTTTCTCTTCTTTTATACCTTCTGCTGCTAGTTTTCCACCAACAATGTGCTGGAAGAAGAAGATCTGCACACTCCAGAGAGAGAAGAACAAAAAAAAAAAGTTGGTGTGTATTTACATCACATCCCGTTTCCGAAGAGGAGGAGGAAGAGGAGGAGGAGGAAGGCAACATGAGCCCCCTGAGTGTCTGACATCTGAGAGCTTGAAGGAAATACGCTGGAGAGCCCTAGGAAGGGAACTATGGAGGGCCAACCAAAATCTCTAACATAGTAGTGACTATAAGGACCAGTGGTGGAAAGGAACTAAGCCTACTTGTTTTTTTATTTAAAGCCATTTCTACAATTACACTTTATAGGGCACTTGCTGCTGCAACAGGCTACATTTAATAATATTTAGAATAATTATTTATACAAAATATAATCAACAAATAAATCCTGGTGTATCCATTATTATTATACCTGCCCCCAGTATTTAAAGTATTTTTAAGTCAGCTCTCCGTTCACCAGCTGCAGCAGTAAGAAATAAATACAAATCAAATACAACATCCTTATGATCAATACAGAAACAATTTGACCACTCCATTACTGCCTTAAAACCTGCTGCAGTTCCTTCCCTTTATAACAGACAGAAGATGTGCTCTGCTGGCCACACCCCCATGTGTGTTACGTCATTAGAAAGCAGGATGTCCTCTCCAAATTATATGAGGACTCAAATAGACTGCAGTCCCCCACAGAGAAGGTATGAAAAACAAATATGAACTGCTAGTTAAAGATAACATTTAGGAGGATCTATTGGCGGAAATAGAATATAATATTCAAAGGTATGTTTTCATTAGTGTACAATCACTTGAAAATAGGAATCGTTACGTTTTTGTTACCTTCGAACAGGGGTCTCAAATTCAAACTGGCTGGGGTCCACTTCAACATTCCAGTACTACAAGAAAGCACAATATTCAGAAAAATATTTCCATTACTAATGTCATACTTAACAACAAAATGCAAACAGTAGTTTCTATACATTTTTATGTCATCGTTTTATATTTGTTGCACAAATAAAGGCCCAAAACCTGCTCTCTTCTTATCACCCTTTGCAGGCACCTTCATTTTGTGATATTTCTGAGCAAAGGGACATATTGAATCAATAAAATGTACTGACTTAATAAATTAACCATGTATAATATAAATACAATTCACTATAATGTGGATATAATATAGTATATTAAATAAGTAGCTGTGTTTATAAAATAAGTAAAATATAAATAATATAATGCTAATGTAACAGGAATGGAGAGTAGATGGATTAATTGATTGGCTGACTGACTGATTATTGAGGCATTATCTTGTTCACCTTCCCCTGTGACATCACCACCTCTGCAACTGTCCACAGTCTCTGACGCACAACCCTCAACCCTGAGTGTGTGTGTGCGTGGTTTAGACAGCAGGGGTCAGCAGAGCTTCAAAGAAATAGGTTCCTGTAGAAACTCAATATGTTAATCTGAAGTGATGAAGTGATGAAGTGCTTTCAGTAGCGGAACAAGTGTTAAGATGCTTTTTATAAGTAAAAGTAGTAATACTTGTGTATAAATACTCTGCTACATGTAAAAGTCCTGCATTCAAAGTATTACTTAAGCAAAGGTACAGAATTATAATCTGAAAAAACTTCAGTCATTATCCAGAATGGACCCTGTCAGTGTTATAAAACTTAATATAAGTATAGATAGTACTTCTTCCACACAGGCGTTTTAACTTATGTTACCTGATTACTGCTGTGCCTGATTGACACTTCCATCACACTGATTTATTTGTACCAGTTGGAGCGGGGGCAATTTACACAGTTATCATCCTTAGAGCACAAAGCTTGGTGGAATCAGCATCAGTCAAATGTATCTAAAGTATCAAAAGTAAACATATTTGTACTGTGACTGATATATGATCCTATCTGATATTATCGGATTGTTAATACTGAAGCATCAATGTTAGAGGAGCTAGTTTTTCCTGCTTTACGGGTAGCTAGTGTAGGCCAGTGTTTCTCAACATAGGGGTCGGGCCCCTTCAAAGGGTCACAAGATAAATCTGATG